CTCCTGTATTTGAGACTGGTTCTCTCTGTTCTCTGGAAGCACCTTGTAACCCCTCTGCCTCAGTCTTCCTATCTGTGGAAAGGGAAACCAGCAGGAGTTTTTGGCTGTTGAATATCTGTGAGTCACTCTGAAGATACAAGGGGCAAAACAGAAGAGAGGAAGAAAAGTCAAGAAACTACCAGGTGATGCTCGCACCAATACAGACGTAGGTCACATCAAACAAGAACAACAGTGATGTTGCTCCAAGTACCCATTTCCTATTTCCTTCCTCCAGGAGAATCAGGGTGATGAGAACGATGAACAGCTGGTGGATGGGAAAGCGTCTGTAGCACTAATGTCTGCAAATTGGCAGCTTGGAAGCTGCTGAATTTAGTACTGTTAATGAAGATCCCCCTGAGCAAACTATTCTCCAAGTGATGCCAGAGACCAGTGCAGGGAAAGAACAGAGCCAACATCTGTTTCTGCCTGGCAAAAGCAAACAAGCAAACACAGACACCGAGATCACTGCGATGCTCAGAGAGTATTAGTAAAGGACAAAACTTGCATAACTGCCATAAATTATAAAAGCCTCCCTCGATCTTGGTTAATTCCCTTGTAGAAAGGGAGGAGAAAATCTGGAGCAGGTCAGCATGAAAACAATTGTGGGAGGGATAATAAAGAGACAGCACTGAGGTATCTAGTTGCGAGCCCTGATATCATTAAGTAAGTGCACTAGAAATGTCGAGGTAAATGCATAGCAGTGAATCACAGTCAGGCATGATTAACCTTGGGTAGTCCAAACTGGAAATCATTTACAAACACAAAGGTACTGAAGAACATCACAACAGACAGCATATCGAAAGTCATGCCAAGAGCAGGAGTCTTGCTGAGCTCTTTGTGTATTTGTGCCATTTCTGAATTATTGTCATATTTTGCACGTAGGAGGATGGAAGATGGCAGACCCCCGGCTCAGGGAGGAGTTTCTGTGGCACTGCAAGGTCCTCTGAAACACATGCACTGTTTGGAATCACTTTTTCTTGCATACAAGTTTTACAAAATAAAAAGTTTTAATCTCAGATTTCCAATGTTTACTGAAAGGATTCAGGTTTTGCCAAAGAAAGACTAAAATCCTGTAACTGAAAATATTAAAGGACAAAATAGCACTCTTTCTTCATCCTTCCCCCACTCCTTAATGCAGCTCCTCAGATTATAACTGGTAAAAGGAGGTGGAGAAAGGACTTTAATAAAATTTAGGTGTTTTTAAGAAAATCTGTGAGTCTTCTGACCAATGAAAACTGAAACTTTTATCACAAAACCCAAAGAACAAAACCTCACTGGATATTTCCAAACAGTCCTAGAAGTTTAGAAATGCTCAGTGAAGCCGTAACCAGATGACCCATATAGAGCCATCTATATTAAGAGTACAACAACAACAACAAAACTCCTTCAAATCCAGAATTCTCAAGACTTTAAAAGCATTCAATTACAAGGAACATGAATCAATTGGGGAAGACTCCAGACAGCTTAACATGTTTGTATTGTTTGCACCTTTTATTGCAATTCTTCAGTGCCAGCTCAGGCAATTACTGTGCATGCCAAGGCGGTGAAGGCCATAGGAATATCGTGCAAAAGGATACAGCTCTGCTCAGACTTCCTCCCTGCTTTCACATCATCCTCATTCTCCTACATCCATCTTAGTTATTTCTAGCACTGTAATAACTGCATTTATTTATCTGCCTCATTAGGATGTTGCATCAATTAATGTGTATCATCTAATGCATACCAGTTTCTTAATGTTTAATATTATTGTAAGTGGAGAGCTATGTCATACTGAGTCTACCTAGGGAGTTAATACATACAGGAAAAAACTCCTATGCATAATGCTATTCAGAATGATGCATTTACCATACCCAAACCACTCCAAACAGACCACCATACGTCCTGCATTCTAGGTTTCTATACCACCTTTGGCCTCACGGCTCCAGGTCACAGGGTAATATCTGTCTTTGAGGACCTGGAGCCCAGTGGACAAGGCAGGAGGAATGTTTTCAGGGGAGACTTCATGTAAATGCTCAGTTCATGAGTGCCTCACTGCCTGATTCAGGAGGGTAATCAACCTGTCCTCTGAAGCTGCATAAATAATGTTTGGATGGAGGCAGTAAATCCGCACCAAGGATGAATTAACTGCCATGGAGTCATATAAGCTTGGCTTGAGTGTGTGGCTCGTAACATGCCTGAGGAAAATAAAAAAGACATTTGCAAGAAAGAAACATTAATTTGCTCCTCCTTGTCTTTTCTTTTTTTTTTTTATCTAGGCCAATACAACTTCCTTCATGGGTTTTTTGTTGCTGCTTATTCCATTTTCACCAGGAAACACATATTCACAGCGAAATAAATCCACAGTTTCTCCTGGTCAGGCCCAAACATGCCAACTCTTCTACAGCAATGTCGCTCCTTTTTAGCACCCCTGCCAGGAGATGCCGACCGAACTCCTTCAACACTCTCAGGGGAGCAACACCTCGCAAGAGGGTGCAGGCTTTTTTACCCACGGGGACCCCTGGCAGTGTTCATGCCCACTCACAGACCTCCCCCCTTGCACACCCTCAGCAGCTCCCAGCTGCAGGCCTGGGCACCACTGGGGCTCTTGTCCAGCTGCACAACAGCATGGTCTTCTCCGTGTACACAGGGGAAGAGTATGTCCACTACTATAGATGGACCCAGGCACATGTGTTCACACATCCAGGTGTATGTGTACACTGCAAGTCCTTCTGGTTGTGCATCTTGTGCACAGCTGCGAGCTCCTACAGTCCCAAAAGGACAGAGAAAGTCTGTATTCATAACTGCCTGAAAACCAGGGATAAAAGTCTGTCCTAGAAGAAGGTGGAAAAGAGAAGAAACCCCAGACAGGTCAACAGAAGATAGCAGAAAGAGAACTGGGACTTCAGTGTGCATCTACACTTCAACATCAGTTAATTTACTTCACTGTAACACTTGGGTATCCACCCCTCTATTCAATAACACATACATTTTAGTTTACTATTAGCTTATTGGTCTCCTTTCTTTCTCATTTCCAGTGTCTGACCTCTGGTTTTCTGTTCCACTGCTCTCAGTTTTGTATCTCTTTCTGAAAATTTGGCATTTACAGTTCCTTTTCTTAGCTGTATTCCTTTCATTTTCTTCCTCCTCTTTTGGCACAGCACTTGCTGGTTCCCTTCTTCTTATCTCCTCCTTTCTCTACTGCCTCCTTTTCCACACAATTTTTCTAACTAGAGAGGCCTCGGCTTCTTGAATGCAGTCATTCATCAGTGGTAACCAGTCATTACTACTTATAAAAATTGCTCTGGGGACCACTAGCTGCTGTGCAGTAGCCTTAGCATACAGTAACAACTTAAAGATAAGCATTAGAAATATACTATATCTAGTAGAGAGCACAGTTGAAGAAGGTTGTACTGAGATCTCCTACTAGGGAAGAAACTTTTCACACTTAACCAGATTCTGAAGTCTCCTGTATGTAATACAGCACACTACATGACACAGCATGAAGTCTCAAACAAAAACCATAAACATATGGGGGCATATCTCTGAACCTCTATTGTGGGTTCAAAGATACCCCTCTTGTGGGTACAGAGATCTTACAGGATTTTAATCCAATGAAGGAGAAGAAAGGCAAGTAAAGAACATTTCTCATGAATAAAATACCATCTAACTAGAAAAAACACTTTAGAGGATGGCTTATGTTTACATATTGCTAAGTATCAGCAAAAATGAATGTGTTCATTTCTCCAAAATACCTCCAGATGGCATTAAAACCCTTCTTCTTTCAGTCTTTATTGCGATATTATTTTTTTAAATTATAATTATTGGAATAATTCTATTAACCATTCCCAGCAATCATACTATCAGAAGGCATAAGGCTGCTAATGCTTAATTCATTTAATAAGTTTAGCTAAATATGCTCACATACTGTAATTACATTCCACAACACAATCTGCAGGACAAGCCATTTCTTACACCATGTCAAATCTTTTTCTAGATTCATTTCCAGAAGATTTTTAATGTGTATTCACAGCAGAAATCAAAACATCCTACAATAAATCACTGTTATTGTACCTCCTTCTGTGACTACTTTTGGCCATGTAACAAATGGTGACACCTTGTGAGATTTACATGATATAATGCTCTGAATTTAAATAACTTGAATCAGAAAACATAAATTATGGGCAAGATGCACTCTAAAATTCACATGATTGACTGTTACAAGAACTTCCCTCCCTCAAATGGGATTAAAAAGGTGAATGGCTTTGCAGAAATTCAAAATGCTCCTGCCTGCTAGTTATTAAAGGAATTCACCTCTCTAGCTCAGTTTGGGAGACTGATCCTACCTTTTTTTTTTTTTAACTTGCAGCCTATCTCTTTCACGGACTGGTTTATGTTGGCAAAACAATTCAGTCCTTTGTATACTAGAGTTAAAAATGGTAAAAGCTTCTATTGTTGCACCAGAGTGAAGGTGAACACTGATATATTACAAGTGCCTGTTCCTATCTATTTCTCGACTTCTTTTGTTAATTCAAAACCATCAACAAAATCGTGAGAGACTAGAGATAGCTGTAATTGGATTTCAAGTAATTCAGAGGTGAAGCTGCAGACTGCAGTCTTTTAAAATTACATCAGTACATCAAAGGCATATGTGACATGATGTTTTTTAGCAAGTGTGACAAACTCCGGCAGCATTAAGGTAATGTTGAAGTCAGGTTGTAAAGGCCAGCCTCACAAACCCACAAAAATAATCTCATATCTATTCAGCGTGATATGAAGCCATTTCACTTGCAAAGATCTCTGACTTACTAGCATGCAAAAGTTCTAGGAATAATTAATGTTTAGTCGTTATCTGAAAAGCTGTTTTAAGAAAAGCATCAGTGAGAGAGCTTTATCGTAACAAAAACAAACAAATTCTATTTTGCCCAACAAGTCTGATAAAAGCACAGCTGCCTTCTCCAATCTTAAACACAAATGTGACTTACGATGTATGGGTTGCGCTTTTCTCTGGACTCTTTGGCTCTACATCACTTTTCCCTTTAAAAGAGAAGAAGAAAATGACATCAGAAATGGGTCAATACAGAAACTGCTCAGATGTGACACTTCAACGCTTTATTCATTGCTAATACTGACCACTCTTGCCACACATGCAGCCCCACTGCTGAGGCAATCACGGGGCTGCAGGGGCACTGCTGGAGCATTTGCAAACAGGGAGTCAACCCTGACTTGACTTTCCCTGTCACTTGCACATGTACTCTGGAGAAGTCAGGCAAGGAAAATCCACAAGAGAGGCTGCTTAGAGGACATAAGCTTTCCCAGAGATAGCAGACCTTGGAGCAACGGAAAGGATTTCTCTAGGGTCCTACAGCTCTGCTACTGAGAGCGTACCCTATCCAACATGCACATGCTCCAAAACCCTGCTTCAGGAACAGGAATTATTTCATACAAAGCAAAACAGCATCAGCAGGAGCTAGTAAAGCAGTGATTAGGACACAGTTCTTCCAACGGATGTTTTGGTTCACATGCATTTTGACAAATTAAGGATCCGATCTTCAGCTCCTGTAAGCAGGGGCTGGGGAAGCCATCTTCACTATGCTGTATTTTTTGGCTTAGGCACTCAAACCTAGGAGAAGTCAGGTATCCAGATGCTTGAGAAGTATCAGAGATCCAAGGGATGCCTCTTCACATTTCCTTATGACTCACATCACGCTGCCTTGTGATGATCCCCTTCTTGGGTCCAAAACCATATATCTGCCCAACACAACTTAGTTACACAGCACAGGCACCAGGGAAGAAGGCTGCTACCTGTTGGGGTAGCACTGCTTCTGCTAAGTCCTTCAGGTGAAGTCCTTCTCCCTCCTTTCTCCCAGGTGCCAAAAAGTAAGGCAGATTTTGTTTGCTGTAATTATTGCTTTCTGAGCAACCTGAGTGAGCTGCACTTCAGCATAAGGTTTCTGTTTAGCTCTACCATGGATGTACAGGGTATGCCACTCCATTTGAATCACCTTCACCTTGAATTGTGGACCTAGCCACTGTGCAGCTGCTGCTCCTCTTTTGTGTGGCTGGATGCTAACAGCTGTCTACTCATGACTTTATGTTGCCTAGCAGATGAGGAGGCATAGAGGCTGAGTGTGACTGGTTTACTGATGGATGTGTTTTTCTCCATTACCTTTTAATGAGCTTCGTTAAACCAAAATCCACCTGTGCCTTCTGAAAAAAAAATGTGAGAAGTGCTTATTTTGGACAGGCCTTTTTGGTGTTTTCCAATTTTCTGCTCATTGACTTGAGCTGAGTGGGTTTTGATCAGCCCCCAACCTATTTTGCGCATATGAGCATTATGTATCATCCATTTGCTGCTGACAAAATCCTCACCCCCAGTTTCCACACAGTGTTGGAAAATTGGGAAAGTTGCCAGCAATGACTGCAAGGGGCATCTCTGGAAAACTTGCTGTTGCCTTCAGAAGAAGCAGTGTTTTGCTGCCAATGTCCTTACACTACTGTATACAGAGGCAAGCTGAAAGTCTTGCTCTAGACAGTGACCTTCTGGAAGCAAGTGTCTTGTAGAGGAGGCTCTGGGTATTGCAAACACCTTGCTGTGGTGCTTTTAGATCTCATGGTCCCCTTTCAAAGTTTTTTGTTTACCCAACTTAGGTGCCTAAACTTTAGTGAACAGGATGGGGAAAGCTCTGGATGACTTCAAAAACACTGATGCCTCTCTGATCCTCTAGGGAAGCTAAGCATTTACAGAAAGAGGACAGCTAAAGTCACCTAAAATTCAGGGCATCCACACAGGATGGAATACTTCCAGTCCATAATTTTCAGGTCACTCTTCACTTTTAGCAAAGAAAGTGTATCCAGATGATGAACTCGCTGGCTAGAAAGCTGTTGCTACAACATACGTTTGCCAGCCTTAGGGTGCCCGGAGCCCTGGAGCTCATCTGCATTATGGTAATTCGGAACAAGAAACCAACAGTAACAGTTGGCATAAATTCAAAGATTCTCTATTTAGGCTTTTTATAAGTGATGAATTATTACCATGAACACTGGTTTGTTTGAGTGTGAGAGGGAATATGGGTTCCTGAGTGCTCTGCCAGCAGAGTTCACATCAGTTCTACTTTCAGCAATGTATGTTAATGCAGCAACAAAGGAAACAGCCTAAGTACTGTGAGGAAAGAGAAAAGGGAAACTCTGTGATTTAGCCAAACTCGATATTAATGAATTACTCTGCAGTAAGCATTTGCAGCTGCTTTTATGCTAATCGTCACTTAGCATACTTCTGTGTGGAGGAGGAGGATGAAGCTTGTACAGATGGTAGAAAAGCATCAGTCCAGCCTATCAGAGTAGAAAATCTGGCCATTAATGCTTTATCAGTTCTTACCAACTTTGTTCTCACTTGACTGAATCACAGAAATTTTAAAAATGTGCCTAGACCAAGCATAGTTGAATGTCACAGATTCAGTACAGATAAGATTTTTGGATAAGCATATGTAAAAGGGAATTACCCGTCAGAACAACTCACTTTTTTCACATACACTCTTGGCTAGGCTAAGATTTGTTTGCCACTTTCCATGTAACCTGCCAAATGCATGCAGGTACCATTGTGGGAGGGTGTCACTTGCAGAATTAGTAAATCCTCTCTAGGTCTGGTTTCTTCTTATGGGCAAATTTCTGTCATCTTTTGTTTTTCTTAGTCTTTTTGGAATTGACAAAGAATATGCTACACACCTTGCTATGGGACTGCTGTTAGCACAACTTATTTGAGGTGCTAAGCACTGTGTATGTCTCCTGAAATGTGTGTGGATGTGTCTGTGTATTGGTGTACGTATGCATAAACACATCTCCAGAAATACACAGTGGAAACCATCAGTCCTCAGATCCTTAGTCACAGAGCTGAGAGTTCTTTGCCAGTTTCTGCCTCATCTGGCACAACTTTCTTCCTAATCTTCTCACATACAAGCAGAGGAGATGTGTCTAGATTTCTCCCATTTCAAATTTCCCTGTTGAACAGTGCATGGCCAGAGAAGAAGTTCTCTAAGTCTGAATTTGGGTGAATCACTCAACCTAACCAGAACAAGTTTTTCTTTCTCGGCAACAGGGATGAATATTTATTGTGACAGAGCAGTATAACTTCAGCCATTATGCATTTTTGAATGCTTAGATTTCCTTGCAGGTGAAGGATGAGAGAAATGCAAATGTTATCTGTGAGAAAGACCATGTTTGCAGCTGGAGTGAAACCATTGCAAATGACAGGCTCAGGAGCCACTCCAAAGAAGACACGGTCCAATGGGAAATAAAGCTGATTGGGACTCTGAAGATGTGCATTTGGATAACACAGTACATAGACCATTAAATTTCTTTCCCATTTAGAGTCATTTGCTAACACTTCCTCACATCTGAATTCCTTTTTTTTTTTCCCCCCACAAATTTCCTTTGAGTTTGACATACAGAACTGGTAAGGTCTATGTCTCATTCTAACTGTGTCTTAGTTGATTTCTTATTCCAACATCTCAACGGGAATCCTCACAGATACAGGTCTCAAAGGTAGTCAAATTTCCTCTGCAATGTTAGGGAAAGTGTTTGGGTGTCTGACAGTGATCCTAACTTTCGCCACCAATGAAGAAAATGTTTGTGCATGGGTTCAGCTGCTCTTTGGTTTGGTTGCCATCAGCCAGGCAGTAGCAAATGAATGCAGCTCCAGCCCAGCTGCACATATATGCTGATTTTGCTGAGTAGGATGAATGAGGAGATAAGAAGAAGCTGGAGGCACGGTGGTGTGGGAGGGCAGATGGGGGAACTGGAAGTAAAATGATGTTAGAGACCACTGGAGTAAGGAGCAGAGAAAAGCTGTAAGGAGGTAGGTACGATTTCCTAATCCGTAGGAAAGCAGGTTTCATTAGATCTGTAGAAGAACCTATTTTACTCAAGCGTTGAAAGAAGGAAATGCTCAAAATGAAACTATGACCAAAGCTGTCCAAATACTGTGGCCCCTGGTGTCACTGTGAAGCCTTCAGCTCAGCTGGTGTGTTTGTCATGCTCATGGCTTTGTGTATGTTTGCATAGCCCTCTCTATTATGGCCCTTTTGTGCTTCCTTCTCTCATTACTGTATTCATTATTTTCTGACAGAACCTCATCCCCTTTGCCTTTTATTATTTCCTTAGTGCTGGTAGTGGCAGCAATATCAAACCGATGCCAGCAATTAAGTGACACCACTGCATGTTTCTTCACAACATTGTCTTCCACATGCTGACCTTTCCCCAGCAAAGAGCTGCACTGTTTTAATAGCCTACATCCCCCAGCCTTGTCTCTCAGGATGTCTTCTGCCTCACACAGTGGGTGACCAGCCACTTTCAAAGCCCTACCTACCGGCTCAGGGTATTTTTCATCTTCAGTCACAGCCCTGTAATTTGCAAACAGGGCTCTGTGCTGGTTGACAGGTTGGGAAGCTAGCAAAATAGTTCTTTTGGTTGAGATGATTTTATGTTGCGAGCAGGATAGGATCATGTATTTTTAATATGGAGGACAACATTAACAACAGTGAGAGGCGTCAGGGGACAGGATTACTATTTTGTTTCACAGAACAGTTCAATCTTTCCTTTCAAAACAGCTGCTAAGTTTTTTACCATAACTAAATGTAGTTAAAGCGCTGCTGATCTGCACCATGATTTGTAAACTGGAGTCCACTGAAAAGCCCCAACCAGGAGCCACACAAGCACACATCGCTCCCCTGCCCACACTGTTAGCCAAAAAGACCCGTGGCCATAAGGTCTTTGAGATATTATCTGGTGTTAGTCTGGCAGGTTTTATGTAGCTTATTACTGTGCAATAGCCACAAAATATACCACTGCCTATGAAATATAAATGATAACAAGTCTTCCTGCAGAATTTTTTGGCAGTCTGGAACTGGCCGTGCAACTAGGACAACTCTTTTCTGGTTTTCTGAAAAAAAAAAAAAGCCACTCTTCTGCCCTTTCAGTCTTTCTCATCTACATAATGAAATAGCTGTAACAAAATGAATCCTTTTTGTTCTTCCCAGTCTACCAAAAGAGCTGACATTTTGATGGTTGCTCCTTAATTCAGTTCTCCACACTTGGCCATAGCCAAGGGCTGCCTGCAGAGACTCTGCGCTCTCCCAGTCTGCTACTGGTTCCTCACTCTATCAGTTACTTGTTTTTCATAGTCATTGTCATCCCCTCCACCCAAAGTAGCCAGAAAATGAGTTGGTACTTACTTGTATTGCTGTGTCCTGTAGATCCCTGTTGTGACTCCTACAGCAATAACAGAAAAAAGGTACAGTGTGTTATTTTTTACAGCAAATTTTAGCTGTAATACTTGCTTGAATATTACCTTAACAATACAAACAGCATGGTTAATTGTTCATCTGGTTTAAAAGTAATTTTCAATTACAAGAATAAATCCAATATTTCTTTGAAAATCCATTAATTCTAAGGCTCATAAACTTCTTTTACAACAACTCTTTAATGGTGCAATTCCTTGTACAGCTATTATGACTCTCCTGCTCACTATTCATTTATTGATCAGCTAAAACTCATCTATTATCTTCTACAAGTTTAGATGAGAAGACAGAGGGAAGACCAATATTGTTTCATGGACCATTAGATTCCTGAGGTAGTAGCACAGCTGGTAATGTTATTTTCAACATGTTGATATTGACAGCACTGTAGAACAGAAATACAGACTTTACTTCTGGGTCCCCAAGATTGCAAGGTCAACCTTGTAACACAAGCGCCATATCTATGAATACGGTACATTAAATCAGACTATTTTTTCCTCACGTGCAAATGTTCACATATTTTACTCACAGAATCTGTTTGCATTCATAAAAGTATAAAAGAAGTCTATAAATAGAAGGGAAATACAAACAACAAAGGATATTTAAATTAAGGGAAAAAAAAGAACGCTTTACTATAGATGACAGCAGGGAAAGTATCCTGTATGTAACTGCTTCTGAATAACCCAAGCATGCAAAGAAATACCACCTCGTCTACACGAGTTATAATCACAGTAAGGACTACTTGCAGAGGCCAGGCACCCACAGCAACACAAGTGGTCATTTTTGGTGAGGAATCAGGTGCTGGACTAGATCCCTGGTCCACAGAGGCTGAGCAATGAGCACAGTTCATCAAGAAACTGCAAATCCCCAGAGAGCTCAAGGATGCTTGGACTCGTCTGAGCTCAGATTTTGCTGCTGAGTCACTCGGGGCCCCAAGAGTTTCTTGACTTCTTTAAATGGAGGTTGGCTGGACAGGCACTGGGATCTTGAGGACTCAGCTCATTAGGTTCCGTCAATCTGCACCATTTGCTCTGGAGTCAAGGCTCTCTGGACTGCATGGCTTTTATCTGTAATTTTTTATACTATAATACACCTCTGCAATTCACTGCCATCCTGCGCACCTGATACGTGAGACATGAGAGTATTGGGCAAGCCCTAAGAGTTTCTACATTCAACTGTAGCACGAAGAGATCTGTATCATGTTTCACATGCTGAGAATAATTTCTCAATAATTTGAAATTGTCTACTTTTGACAAATTGCTTCAGCTTTCTGTAAATGCTTCTGATGAAGGGATGTGAAAGCCTGTTTTTTGGTTTTTTTTCTGGTGACTGAATATAGTCTTAGGAAGTGAGGATCAGCTTGCAGTTGTGATGTGGTGACACGTGCACTTGAATTTAAATGCTATTCTAGTAGCCAACCAGGCTGTCAATAAAAGTAGGCTATTAGAACACGTTCAGTTTCAAGAATAGTGAATTTATGTACATAGACAAGTTTGCAGAATACAATGATTTTGATGGAAATACCCTCGGGTTTGTAAAAGTGTTTGAAACTGTTAAACAAGGATCTCACTCACTCTTTTACATTTTCATTAACCTCAGGAAGAATGCACTCTCCCCTTTAACTGCCTAGTACAGTATCTTACCTCTGCTATTGGCTCTACATAGTCTTAAATTTGACAACAGAAAAATATAGGACCTGTAAAATTTTCACTTTTCCTTTTAACTGGTTCTTTAAAATATATGACTTGATTCCCAACAAATTATTCTTAATAATAAAGGCTAACACAAAAGTCTCATATGGAAATACAGAATGTTCCCACTGAAGTAGGAAAGAAGTAAGACTTTAAGTAACCTGAAAAACAAAGGTGAAGTCTTCACTTTTGGAGATTATTTTCTAATGCATTTTCTCAAGCTTTTTAAAATCAACAGGAAAGGTAAAAGTAAATTAATTGAACACATAAAGAATAACATTACTATGATAACTAGCTTCTGCTGAGAATAACCACCAATAGCTTTGTGACAAGACATAAGTTCTCCTGGGGTGGATAAATTAATTCTCAAATAACAAAATGATGGCTGATCCCATAATATCACACACCCATAACCAGAAATCAAACACCTGATCAAACTTTCAAGACATGAAACCACAGTAAAAATGAAGAAAGAGAGTAAAGCAGGCAGCAGAATTAACAGCATTTTTTTCCCCGCACAAGAGTAGAGAATTAATGCTTGAACATGAAAGCTCATTCACACAAGCATCAAGTGAGCTCTTATTTACCAAATTTAATTATTCATTTAAAGTTTATTTATTAAGGTATTTTTAATGAAATTACAATCAAATAATGCCTGATCAGTTGTATGTATCAAAGTGTGTAAGAGATAGGAGAAAGGAAGGCACACACAGCTTGTCACATCACACACTGATTCAATTATCCTTAAGCTTTGATAAACAAGAAATAGAGACTGTCACTGCCCCTTCCTAGTATATTCAAGCGTAAAAATTAATTCCATAGAGAAAGAAAATTCAAAGTTAAGGACAGAATGTAACTTTATGCCCTCTATTACATAAAGGACAGTTCCCGAAATGTGCTTGCCCAGCAGCGCCATGCTGGGAAACCAACCGGGCAGTGCCGCATGTGTCAAACCTGACCCAGAATTTCCTCCCATTCTTGTGCATTAATGCAGACTTCCCATAATAATGAGGTATGATTTCATATACAGGTACAGCATATGCATGTACACCCCCCATCCACTAAGCATATGGTTATAGATGGAAACATCCATGCACACAGTTTCAAATATGCAATTCTGTTACATTGATGATATATAAACTTCAGTTATTTAGCTTTTATTACTAGAATGATTTCAAAACTAGTCTAGCTATAGTTGCTGTGGCCTTTGCAACTTTAATAGCCTAATTAATATATTTCAAGTTTCAAGCTGTCAGATTACTAATTACTTGAATTGCAGGTTAAAAGCAGTTTGGTGTGTATGGGAACGAATGATGCTGACTCTCAATTTGTTACAGACAAAAAAGTAAAGATGATTAGCATCCTTGCAACAGGGCAGGAGTCCTACAAGCTTCTCTTTTTCTCATTCCCAAAATGATGAGTATCTTTACACTTGGGAACTGTCTTTTGTTAAAAAGGATTGCAGCCTACTTGCTTCTCTGGCTGGAAAAGTCACTGCAGATGAGCTGAACTGATCTCTCAACACTGCCATAAAGACTGAAAATGAATTCACAGTACCATGCATCGCTTGGAACCAAGAGATGAAGCTGATGCCCTGAATTTAGCCTTTTAGCCTCTTTGCTGGCCTTGGCCACTACTTAACTGACAGTCCCATTTATCTGAATAATGCGCAATCCACAACAGTTTTGTGTAGTCCTCAGGTTTTAACAAGTTAGGACAGCCACGTATCTTACCTGTGGCAAAGCTTCCTAAGAGTTATGGAGACATCTCCTATGAGATCCAATAGAGATTTTACACCATGCTTTGTGAAAAGCAATAGCTAGCTTACGCATGTTTCAAAAACGTTTGAAAAATTAGGAAACCACTTTTTGCATTTGGGAGCTTGAAAAGCAGATGCCTTCTAAAGTCTGCAACTGTGCAGATTCAGAGTAAGCCACAGAAGTAGTTTTTAATGATTTTTAAAATATTTTAAAATAGATGTGGTGTCTTAACCACCAAATTAACAAGATCTATGGCCAGTAATACAGGATTTTTCCAGGACTCTCTGACTTTTGTTATGTGCTTCTTCCCCATTTCCAACAAAGCACTTTTATTTCTGACCATGCAGATCACCCAGGCCACAATACAGTTGTGCTGCTACTACATGTACAAAAGTATGCTCATATATTATTAGATGAAATCTCATCAATCTGAAGCTTAAACAAAATGGAAATTCTACTGTGGTAAGAGAAAAGGAAACCACCTAGAAAAGGCTCTTTAAAAATGAATGGTAGATCTCTGAAATGGCTCTGCTGTTCAAACTATTAGAATATTTCTCAGAGAGAGGCACGAACAGGCAGAGAGAAGATGAGAAAGTCAATATCAACCATTATTCACATATCTTTGCCCCATGGTCTGTGATTCTCCTATTCCTGTATTTATCACAGTACATTTAGCTGTGGGGAAGTGCATTCATGATGGCCACACAGATATGGTGCTAGGTGTAATACACTGCCCATGCACATCTGCATGGGTGCCACGCAAGCACATTGTATGGTGATAATTATGGCAGAAACTGCAGAGCTGCAAGCACCACTTCATTTTTGTCATCCATATCTGGACACTTCACCTGCTTGTAAGCTGCTGATCCATCTCTCTTCTAGTGGACCTACTCTAATGTAACAAGCTTCTAGCCTGCCTACCATCTTCAACCAGCTGCCTGTCTCCAATGAGCAAATAGACTGTGAGCTACTTCTTTTTATTTCATACCATGCCACAGATATTTTGGTTTACAACCCTGGTACTTCAAAATCATGACACTCTCATCCAGAGAAATGTTGTTTTAGTGTAGGCAAATCTTGAGGTTTCTTGGCTTTGTGGTTATAATTATTCCCTGAATTAGATTTTGCAGAATGGACTTAAAAGTTACCAAAAGAGCCTGCTTTGACAGGAGAAAAGCTATAAACCGCGTCAATACCATCTTTCAAGCTTGAACATTTCATGAAATAGGCTTGAGGCATATACAAACAGTATATGGTGATACAATGTGAAATTTTTATTGGCTTTTGCATAGAATAGCTGATTTCATTCCCTTCTGGCTTACCAAGCATAAACAATCTGGTTTTCTCAAGCTTGTGCCAATGAAGTTTACCATGTCGCAATGCATCCTTCCTCGGATGCACATACAGTACTGGAGCTGGTTTCAAGGGACCATCAACAGGACCAGTGGCTTTGGTTGGACTCAATGATCTTAAAGGTCTTTTTCAACCAAAACCATTCTATGATTTCTATAAGCCAGGCTGGTGTCAGGGGATGTATGCCCACTCCCCAGCCCCTGACTGCAGAGGCCAGTGTATTATTAAAGCCCATCTCAGACCTGAATGGTGTCAACAAAAATCTGAGCTAGTGAAGCCAAATGAAGCAGGAACAATGGATGCAAGCAGGAGCATCTTGACTCGCAGCAGCTGTATGTGCCCTGAGGTAACAGGAGCCTCAGCAGGTGCCTACAGAAGGCACCACATCTGCACACCCCATCAGGGTCACCTGTGACTCACACCTGTGACTCACACACCAGCATCAGTGCTGCTGTCAGGAGATATGTGAACAAAGTCGTGCAGTCTTGCAGAGGCTGTAAGCAGGGAAAAGGCAGGGGATACTGGCACACACATAGAGAAGGTCATCAGCACAGCTTCAATCTTAGCCCAGAGATCCCACACGCTTATGTAGGACATATTTTGAGGTGCAGGAGGCATGGTTCTACATAAGGTTGTGTGTCTTACCTTGTTTGGGAAGGGAAACTTGCTTTGTTCTGCCTTTCCTGGTGTATGAATAGCTGACAGGGGCGGAGGCCATGAATGGGTCATCTCCTGAAAAACAATATTGTAAAGCAAACTGTGTTTAGAAAGTCAATGGAGCAGGAGACAATGATAGTATATCAGTAGCAGGAGTGCCTGGGTAGTGGAATATTTAAGTTACTGCAGCTTCTAGGAAATGCCCAGTTTACATATAATCTAGACACTACATGTGCTATACTGATTTTTGTCACAGACTCTTGAGAGCAGTTCTTAAGCACCGTTTCATTTTCCTGAAGAGTTAATCCATCTTAAGTGTAAGAAGTTTGATTTTTCTGACAATTTGCAACCACATTTTAATCATACAATGTATTCTGGCTGATGAGACAAACAGAACAACTCTTTTTTGTAGTATGGGAACAGAAATTTCAGTTCATCACCAGGTAATGAGGTACCCACTAATCATGAAATAGATTTCATAGACAAGGTCAGGATGATAAACTTGTCCAATGATTAATTCCTAAAATTGCCTTTATCACTGTAAAGGAGTTAAATAAGTTCCTAACTGTAACATGTTTGTGCCTTGCAGGACACAGACACATGGCAAGCCCTAAACAAGGTGTGCTGCACTCCATGTTTTTCTCCTCCCTGTGTTGTTTTGAAGGACATTTTTAAACTAATTTTAACTAATAGACATGAGTAGCTTGACCTGACTTGTATGCAGTCATCCTTGACACAGCTTGAAGTAGCAGGTAGACACACATTCAATACCGTTATCATTCAAGTCTGAATGAGTCAGTCTTCAAAGCAAGGCTGCTTTTGGGGAGGTGTAAATTAAACACTTCAGACAGGAAGTTTGTTAAGAGAGAAGCTTCATATTCCCCTCTAGTGCAGGCTGTTAAAGGATGGGCATATTTTTTGACACATTCAGCACCAACAGCCATAATATATGGTACACAGAAACTTAACAGTATTAATATAAGTAGCATGGAGCATGAGAACCCTGAAGAGTCAGCTCATAAGTTTCAAGAGCTGAAGAGCAAATAAAATCCTGCCTAAGGAGGGGACTCGTTGACACTATCAAGAGTTTGCTTGGCAGATGCTTTGCTGAGTTTTGATACCATTAGCTGACTGTGGCATTGTTTCTCTGTGATATTCCAAGGAGTTGTGCTGACATCCACGATCAGTCCCAAAATAATACTGGAGCTATATTTCCATGAGTCATTCCTTTCTAAAGAGAAAAGAAAACGTTCTTGTTTGAAAAAAGGTGCGGGTGAGCCTCTTGCCTATCCTTTGTTAGTGGTGATGGAAGTGCCTCCTGACCCAGCATGGACTGAGCTGGGGCATTTTTTACACAGAGGAAAGCCTCCAGCTGTTCTGCCAATGAAAAGATCAGTCCTCTCAACTTAGTTTATTAGTAATAAATGTCACCTTTAAAGCATTCTTGATAAACAGTTTATTACCTAATAAAAACTATGTTCTTTTATTTTATTTGAGGCTAAAAAGTTACATGATTTATTATACTTCTGTAATCTACATGCGTGACTCTAATCGGAGAATCATCTGGTTTGCAGTTTCAGTATCAGAATTGCTTTGCTTTTCAGTTCTTTGAGGCAGATTGTTCATCTTATGACTTCCTTATCTGATAAGTGATAGCAATAGCAGTAGATAGTAATTTTTAATATACAGTAAGTTCTTTAAACTCAGGCAAGAAAAACACAGGCCACGAGATTGGTGTTTGCTACAAGCACCTGGCACACATCCTGTTGTTTTCAAAAGATTAAGGAATTATTAAGAAATATGTCAACAGTAAAGGTTTATGACAATAATTTGACAAAAAGGAGATTTGCAATGTGGACACTTAATGCTAAGGCTGTGATCTAAAAAGTACCACTTTCTCACCTGCATTTCTCCGCTTTTCCCTTATGGGACCACTTGCACAATTTATAGAAAATGGGATGTTGTGCATATAGATTAAAGGTGTTTCGACCTGTAAAACCCATTCACAAACAAAGTGTTTTTCCCTGCAAGTTGAGGTGCTGAGCCCAGAAGTACACACATAGGAATTAACTATGTGTCCCTTTCTTCTGAAGGACAATGCTTTACGTTTTGTCTGTCAATTGAAGAATCGGGCTACTAACGTCTGGTGGCTTTGACCTAAAGTTATCCTGCTTGTGAAATATGCTATTCAGTACTCATGATTTCCATCTTTCTAAGAAGCAGTCCCTCCAGGTTACACGGTGGCTGACCCCCACTGTCACCTTCAGGGAAACATCTTCTGAGAAGTCTGCTGTATGCCATGCAGAAACCAATCTGTTACAGCAGCAGAGCTCTTTCCTCCCACCTTGCCTGCCTGAGTCTGGCAATGATGCCTTCATCCAGGGAAAGGACCAGAGGGCTGATTAAAAATAAGGGTGACCTTTTTTTTTTGTCATGTCAAAATCTTTCATTTCTTCTTTTCCCCAAGATTATTTCTCATCCACACTTCAATGAAAAATGGCCTTAATGGTCTTTTTTTTTTTTTCAGCTAGCTTCTCTTCTCCCTTTTTACTTTGAGTTGTGGTATATAATAAAGCTTTCTACATAATTTAAATTTGATGTAACCCTTTCTGACACAAAGATTTAGTAAGATCACTGATATTTGCCAGGGTTAATAGTTGCCATTAACACGAACATCTGAATGTGAATTTACTAGAATAATATTTTGAGTTGTGATTATATGGTGTATTTATCACCACCCTTTGGAATTCAAATAACTATAAAATGAAATAAAACTAGAAAAAAAATATCAGAAACCACGAAAAATACCCTGAACTATAGGTTTTCACCACTGAGGAGAGGTAAGATTTAAATGTAGTAAAATATTTTGGAAAGAGAAACATTAAACTATGTGCACAGTCTCCTTCTGGCTGCCAAGAACAGAATCTCAAAAATCAGAAGAAAGGATTTAGGTGTCCAACAAGTGTCAACACTATGCAAGGTCAAGCAGAACGTCATCCAGAATATATCCCTGTGTGCCAAATCTCATGATTTTAGATATTTGAGACAGATTAAAAACACTAGTGGTGACATATGATTATATCAAGATATTTTTTCAGTATATGGTGTGAAATGTTTGAAAATGTAAGCCCAAATGGCAACTATCTTGGTAATTAAATAGAAAGGATTCAACTTCTATTATTAAAATAAACTTTCATGCACAGCTTCTCTTTTCTGCTCAGCTAACTTGCTTGTCTTTGGAGTTTGGGATTGGGAGTGTTGGCATAAGGCACCCACTGGACTGAAAACCATGTTTCAAATGGACTTATGAAAATTTAAATGTACTTAAGTTCCTCAGCACCTTCGAACTGGTACTAGAACACTGATGGACACAAAAGATTTTTGAAATTAGGAAGAGAAAAAAGCAGGGATTTTTTTTATTTTATTTTTTTTAGGAAAAAATCAAACAAAAAAATAAGTCCAAAACACCTGGCACCAGAAAATGTTCCTGCTACTACAAGATAATGGTCTAATCTAAAGCCAATTTAGATGTTTTGCCAAACTTAATCAGGTTAACCTTTAAGTCCTGAACAATGTTAATGAAATGAAGCATTGAGAAGCCATTTGGGGTCTAGAAGTGGGTAAAACAAAGATATCTGGGTCAAAGAAGGAAACCCTGATACCCTCTTTTTAACACACATTTCTCGCCGTGAGGGTTGCAGCAATGTTGTTTCATGCTGACATCTTTGCAGTGGTGGTGATGGCACGTCTCATTCACACACATTTTTTTTTTACCACCCTAGTCATCATCTCCACCTGTAGTAAATCAGTTTTCAGCAGTTATCCATAAATGTCCAGTTTTACAAGCTATAAAGGTCCAAGCCCAGTTAATCGTAGTCAATGCGCTAACTTGGCTTTTCTTCTTACTGAAGGGAAAACCTTTCAAATAAAGAAATCTATAGTATTGCGTATCTTTGCTCCAAATTCAGTTTCCGCAGCAACAATTAAGTAACAAGACATTTCTTGTGGATTAATGACTGCTTGGCAGTGTTTAGTTTGGGGCTTTTAACCCTAGCTTGTAGGTAATTTTTCAGGAAAAGTACCATGCAGAGGTAAATAATAGTATTCACTTTAGACTTAAGGCTTAGCTATTTATCTCATGCCATCAATCTTGCTGTGTGGCACTTGATGCCAGGAATGGCTGAACTGATTCAGAAAAATTGTAATTAATAAAAAGTAGTGAGATCGGTATCATCTAGATTTAATGTCTAGCCGCTTGTATTACCTTACTGTTCATTTACTGCCAAACCCAGAACTTATCATCGAGCCATTAAGAAAATTGACTGTTTAATACTCGTCTTTGCTTATGCTCACCTAGCGAATTTTTGATTCATAATATTTTGTCTCTCCACAGATGATGTTTTAAGAAATGTTTGTAGGGTCTCATAAAGGACTCTGTCAAACACCTTTAGAAAATTATTTTAGCTGGCTCAACTTGATCCACTGCTATACTGACATGTCACAGGAATTACAGGAGATTGGTGAGACACTATTTTCCTTCGCAAATACTCTGCTGGTTACCTCATAGGGACCACAGGGGCTCTCTCTTTATAGTTACCTACACTAAAATGCATATTTTAGGGAAACATTAGATATATTTGTTCAGCTGGAAGTAAAGGCAATGCAAAGGTAATGCAGAGCTTTCCAAGACCCCTTAGCAAGTGAACACAGGACATAGTTTGGGAACCTCTAACCCAGTTACTCTCTTGTCTTAATAATTTTTAAATTATTATCTCTAAGCAGGAGATTCTGTTTTTAACTGTTGTCAGTTGGCAAAAATCCCTTTCAGTTCAGTGAAGCTACACTGCCACTAGCTGACAACATGGCTATGATTTTAGTGTCAAACATCCAAAGCAAAGAGTCTGACGCTGAAACTTTTGGAGACTATGTTGAAGTTGACCGCATTTAACTAAGATAAGGTTCCCATAACATGAAAAGAAAATTTTCTTTTTTAAAAAAATTATTCCTCTAGGATCTGTTATTGCTGCAACTTTTCTAATCCAAATCTCAAATATACACCTGTAAAATAGAAAGAT